TGTCCACCATGATGGTGAGCCACCTAGAATACTGACTTAAATGCAACCCTGGAGGAACTCATGTCGCGTCCGGGATTCGAATCCACATCATGCAGTGAGCGCTGAAGTCACAGACGTTACCACCACTTAACTATTTGAGCTCGCGGCTGACCTCCGCAATGACGAGGCACCTAGTGGAATGGTGGCCACTTGATAAACTTGACTGATAGAATTCAGTCTGCACTAAACAAAGGACTAGACAAACTACACGAGTCACTGACTAGTGTCCAGTCAAAGAACTTATTGGTTACAGGATTTCATCATGAGCTGACATTAGTTAGAAAACCATTGGAAAACCTGGGAGTACTGGACAGCTGTTTCGCCAGCCTAGTTTGAGACTCTTCATCAGTACTCACCCACACCGCGGGGTTGGAACCCAGGACCTTCTGGCTACAAGGCGAGCTCGTATACCATTAAACCACCGGGACCTGATCCAATGGCCAGTCCATGAATTCCAACTTCTGCCAATTCACGATATAGCGCAACCGCTAGACAATGTTTTCGGCGAGTATTTGTCCCCACACCCGACCTGCTGCACCCTACTGGTCACGACTTCCAACCGGAACACCAGGTAACTCATAACTTTTCAGAGATTCTAACTGGTGTCGCCTGTGGCCGAATTCAGAGGCGTTATCCTAAAGTTATTCATACCAGAAGTCAGAGATGCACCTAAGTTGACGAGTGCTAACAAGCACGAAAACCTAGGTCCAGGGATTACTGCTGATTTCCTCCATTCACCTAACAATATTATTGCATAATAACAGATAAACAGCTGTTAACCTCTTTGAACATTTCATTGAATCTTGTTACTTACATTTTTCTCATTAAGCTAAGTTATAGTTTCTACCGACATGCTACAAGCTTTGCTATAGCTTAACTTGAGAAATACATTAGTTATTCAGTCTTCTAATGACTGTCTAAATTATAGTCTAAGCTGTTAGTGTTACCTATAGAGTTTACAAATATCCGACATACTATAAAATGGGCTTGTTTTAATAACAGTCGTTTATTGTGTACAAACTTGAAGCACCTGTTGTGAAAAAGTTTCTAAAAATGTCTAAAACACCCCATTTATAGTTAGTTCCCTTGTATTCTTGGCTTTTCTCCGCCGCTGTTTGTTTCACTCTCTGTCTACTAACCAGTTGTTGACATGTATCAAAGGTTTGATTTCTTTTTTAGAACTTCGTCTTTTTTGTCTATTTTGCGGTCGGACATATGGTTATTATAACCTCACAAGTGGAGGAAGCGGGTAGAAGTTACCCTGTAAATTAGTCAAGAACGATATTCTTAAATGTTTGCGCATTTATTTAAAACAATCAAAAAGTGTACGAGTGTGTTTAGTAAAGATGAAAATATTCGATACTTTTAAGTTTAATGCCATGTTGTGGTGAGTGCTACTGATAAGATTTACTAGTAGTATGTAAAGATACGTACAGCAGCGTTTGAAAACAGCAAGATGTTTTGAACACGCTGTAAATTGACTGTTAGAATAAAGTCAGTGGCACGCAGCATTAGGCAGTGCGCTAATCAGGTTAGTTCGCCATGCCAGGAATAGATCGAGGAGATGTGCCTTTCTATTTTACTTTCGGAATTTAATAAATTCGAGGTGTGTTTGAGCCAAATGGCCTCAACAATTTGAACATTTCAGCCTGAATGAGTGATTCAGTCTTTAGTCTTCAGAGGATGTCCGTTAGATTTTGTTCGGTTGATCGGTTTTGTGAATTCGAATTCACTGGAAAAGGTGATCAGCATTTTACCTCAAGATTCATGATTACGGTCCCTCCCCCTTTATCCGGGCGTATCAGCATGATCTCGTTGTTGTTCATTGGTTCTTATAGCTCTTTAAAGTGTCTCTTGGTTATTATAGACCTTTGGTTTGGTTAAGTGCTTATAAACGTATGACAACTGTCAAGGACTGACGATTTGAATCGTTGCGCGTTCTCTTTAGATGCTGGAATTAAATCGTATGTTCGATTTATCAAGTTTTCAAATTGAAACTGAGATTGAAGCTTCTTGGCGTCTGTTGGTTTTTCCCAGACTTTTGAACTTAGGGATAGTGCTTCTAGCTGAAGTGTTGACAGTTAGTTGTCTGAAAGATTGAATACGTATTTTTCTGGATTACTTCGGAATGAACACTCAGTATTACTAGTTGACTTAGGGCTCTTAATTAAATGTGACTTGGTCTGTGTGACTTCTTCGACATATTCCTTGAAGTACTGACGTAGGTTTTGATCTACATAGTGTACTTCATGAACCCGAAAGTAGACATTTCGTTCTAGTTCAGGAACACTCGACTGAATGGGATCAATATTCTTTAATGTGTGGCAGTTTAGCTTTCTGTTACCCAGTTGCAATATCATAAAAATCAAGTGTCACATACTGAATATCTCGGTGTCACTTTGTTTAGAAAACCTAAAATTACTTGTTTTAATGGTGGCTAACAGTGGATAAGCCTTTTTATCCTATTCAGGATCGTTTTTTTCCTTCACGTACCTCAGTGGAACACAGGGCCTCAAGCTAGTGGCTTGAAGTTTCTGTAACAGTGTTTATTTTTACAGGATGGGGTTGCTAGCCTCATGCCCAGCTTTTCCTCTTCACCAGCATTATTTCTGGCTTAGCGAGGTAAAGGAGTGTGTCGGCCGGGGATCGAACCCCAGAATCGTTCAGGATCGTTTAGTAGGATGTATCTGCATTCTGCATCAATGATAGTATTCCTAACAAGTCTTGAATCCACCGCCCATCTGCTCAAACGCTAAATTGATTCAGGCCTTGCTTTACTGGTATGATATGAAACTATTTGTTCATACTCGGGGTTTTCCTTATATATATAATCTGTGTTCAGTTCAATATTGTTAGAGACAATCACTTGTAAAGTGTTTATCAGTTAACTATATTATCTGATTTGACTGATGTCGGCTGACAGTGTTACAAACGAGGAATATCTAAAAGAATTCACAAGTCTCTCACTTATCTAAACAGCATCGTTTCACGTACAGGCAACACTGATGCGGATGTCAAAGTCAATCAGGATCCCATATCAGTTTGTTTATTAGATATATCACTCACAGTAAGTGAAACAGTATTATTGACTGGATGACACAGTTTCGAACACAATCTGTTATTGTTCATAATCATATCATCAATTATAATCACACAACTTCGAAACTTGAGTTTTATGGTTTTCTTTGTTCTCTCTCCTGTTTGTCGTTGTAAGAGTATTAGAATTTTCCAGATGTCTGGGTGGACAGGTGTTGAATCGCTCCTATTACATGTATTTGTAGTTGGTTCGATAAACAAAGCTCCCGTTATCAATTTCTCCCTCCACCCTATTACATAAGATTTTAAAAGCATCATCTTATCCCATCCCATCCTATTGTATGGTTGTGTGTAACTGCATGTAGTGAGAACTATAGCTGAACTATTCTCTAGATTTCTTATCTTATTTGGGTCAACTAATCTAGATTTTGATAGGTTTTTATGTTCGGCTGGTCTGACTGACTGACCCCGTTCTACTACTTTGACCTATGTATTTGACCTGACAATCATTCCAGCAGCGTATTAGATAAACTAAATTGTTTTGTTTTAACGGCTCCACAGGATCCACTATTTAACCGACAAAGCTTGTTTCTAATTGACTTTGTGGGTTTGAAAGCCACTTTTATTCCTACTTTGTTAGGAATTCTGCGTAAGGTGGTTTCCGAGGTTCCTTCCTTGTATGGAATTATTACTGATGACTTAGATTCCTTATTATTGGTGTTGTCTCACTCATATTTCATATGTATGTCTTCATTAATATTATTATTAATATTAATGCTAATTTATCTAATACCCTGCTGGAATGATTGTCAGGTAAAATACATAGGTCAAAGTAGTAGAACGGGGTCAGTCAGTCAGACTAGCTGAACATAAAAACCTAGCAAAATCTAGATTGGTTGACCCGAATAAGATAAGAAATCTAGAGAATAGTTCAGCTATACCGCTCACTACATGCAATCACCCGCAACCACACAATAGGATGATGGGATAAGATGACATTTTTAAGATCTAACTGATATAGCAAGATGGAGGGAGAGATTGATAACGGGAGCTTTGTTTATCGAATCAATTGCAAGTACGTTAATAAGAATGATTCAACACTTGTCCCAGATATCTCAAAAATTCTACTGCCCCTACGACGACAAATAAGAGAGAGAACAAAGAAAACTATAAAACTCAAGTTTCGAAGTTGTGTGATTATAATTGATGAAATGGTTATGAACAATAATGAATTGTGTTTGAAACGGTGTCATCTAGTAAATAATAATACTGTTTCAGTCACTGTGAGTTATGCATCTAATAAACAAACTAATATGGAACTACTTACTACGACAGTGCCCAAGTTTTACACATACATCAATTAGGATCGTTGAAGCGAGACACACCTCCATTACTCCGAAATCAATCTGATGAACTCAGCATGAAGAATAAGACGTCGATCCTTAAAACTAATATCAAATCAGCCAGTGTTTCCATATATATATATATATATTTCAGAAACTTTGACTACTCATTTTCAACTGGTCACCGTATACTTTAAACAACGGCTGCTTTCACTCAGTACCGAGGGTCGAATGGCCAGCTGGAAAAAATAAGTGATGAGGAACTCTGACAGGCTACAAACCAATCAAGAACCCATTGTTCAACTAATATGCCGGAGAAAAAGGAAACATTTTGGAGGCATGTTGAAGAGACTGTTAAGTAACATCAAGAGGACCTAAAGTGGATGGGTCCGACCATTCGGGCCTGTGTGCTAGGGTGAAAATGAAACTGTGCTGCTAGGCGACACCAGTTAGGTGTATTTACCGAAAGATTTGAACAGTTAACTAACTTAAATACTTCTTGTGATTAAGAATTTCTAGCTTCTTAAGGCTTAATTGTTCTAGTTATAATTTAATTAATATTTTCAATTGTTTTCTTTTCAGGTGATCGACGAAAATCTCTCAAAAATTATGTACAAATTGATTCACAGTATGAAATTGTAATGAGGTCGTCTACTGAATTCAACTTTCAGAAGGGTAAGAAGTAGTTTTTCATCTATTCAATCAATGCGTTTATAATTTTTTTGGAGTAATCCTTTCATATGACCATCAATTCAATCTCATTAACGTTGTTTACAGGATTTTCATCATGAGCTGACATTAGTTATAGAACCATTGGAAAACCACCTAGGAGTACTGGACAGCTGTTTCGTCATAGTTTGGGACTCTCCAGCAGTACGTACCCACAGGGATTCGAACCAAGAACTTAATGGTATTCGAGCTCGCCTTGTAACCAGAAGGTCCTGGGTTCGAATCCCGGTGGGTGCGTATTGCTGAAGAGTCCCAAACTAGGACGAAACAGCTGTCCAGTACTCCCAGGTTCTCCATTGGTTCTCTAACTAATGTCAGCTCATGATGAAAATCCTGTAATCAACCAAATCCCTACAAACCAACACTTGAATATCATTAACTTTGTGTTTATCCTCCGTATAAAGCAAGACTACCTCACTGTTCGTCAGCCAACAATAAAATGGCTGTGTAACTCACTGTACTGAAACGTAGTATGTAGATCGATACGGTGAATTTGTGCGACCGAAATGGATTTTCTGAGAGCAGTGAAAATGTTGATAGAGGAAATTTGTACAGAAGATTTGTAACTCAGACGGTTGCGTGTTACCAGAGTAGTCTGTTGCTTTTCCTGTTTTGATGGGTTGGAGGATTTCACCATGAGCTGATATTAGTCAAAGAACCATTGAAAAAACAGCTGGAAGTACTGGACAGCTGTTTCGTCAGCCCAGTTTGGGAAGCTTCATCAGTTCGGACCTGCGGGGTTCGAACCCACGACTCTATGGTCACAATGCGAGCTAGCTTGTAGACCATTAAGACACCTTTTTAGCTAACTGTTTGATCATCAGTATTAAGCTGAAGAGGCAGCTGTTGATGAATGGCAGGCAGCTAAAGAGGCTTCCAGTGACACTTGAGACAAGCTTCTGAACTATTTAGAAGCACTGACTGAAATGATAATAGTGCTGAAAATCCGTATTTTGTTCTTTATGCTCGACTTAGTATTCTACAACTGAAGCTATCACAACACATTCAAAATCGAACATCGACTTTTATAATAATCTCACATAGTTTGTTGCGGTCGGTAGTCAGCCATCCATCTTTGTTCTATGATTAAGGGCGTTAGTCACCAAAGCATATCTGTGACCTTCATGGAAATGGTGCCTCTCTAGGGGACATGGGATGCGCCACAAATCGGTTTAATCAGTAGCATCACCACTGCTCTACTCTGGTACACAATCGTCTTCTTGAAAGACAAGAAATCGTTATCATCACTGATTACTGGAAAGTAACTAGTTTCATGTTCCTGGCCCCTTTTGTTGGCACTCACTGAACTATAGTTATCGATGTAGGCCCCTCATTCCTGAAGATACGCCCCGCTTCCAGATGTCAAGGAGAACGACACCTGGTTTCAAAGCCTACCTCCAAATGTCTCAAAAATATTTAATATATTGATTAATCCCACATTAGTATCTACCGTGTAAATCGAGAGATAAGATTCAGGCGGCGCCAAGACTAATTCAGGACTTGACACATGACATAGACTTGCTTTGTTATCCAGAAATAAAAGGTGGTGAATACCTTAAAACGATGTTTTAAGTGCTAACCCATCCGTGTAATTAATTCCCAGAAAAAAAAACATGTTTCCATACAAATTTAATTTTAAACAAAAATATAAAAGCTTTGGCGCCCGATCTTGTGACAGAATAAATGAACATGTGAACATTTATATCGGGGTATTTAAGTGAACATTACTTAATCTGTTGTCTTTTAATTTTAAAACAACTTTATATACTACTAATTACAAAATAGAAAATTACACATTATTATAATTATTTTTAATTTTGTTTATTCCTTTTTGATACATAAAAGTTTAATAATAGTAAAGGTTTTTGAATATGTAAGAATAAAATAAAATGTGTGAAATTACTAACTGCTACTACTTTCCTGAAAGATGTACTTTTCCCTGATCCCTGTCACACGGTTTGTAACAAAAACAATTTCAGAAAAAGTATTCGTTGATTATGTAATCCATTATTTCATTTATTACTGCGGTGGTTGATGATTGTGGCAGGATTCAAATCAGCTGCTAGTACTGTAACAACAGAAGACAAGGGCCAGGCAACAGATCAGTTTTATTACGAAAACCAACAGGTATTTATATGTATTTTATGTACATTAATAGGCTTCTGCCCGCAGAAAGAAGGCGGTCTTCTGATTGGTTGTTTGCAAACAAACGCAGTCTTCTGCTTTCTCGTTTTCGATATTTCTCGGAAATGCGAGCCACTTGTCTGCGAATCATATTTGTCCACGTCTAGGTCAGCTGTGATCGGTTGTTGAATCAGCCTAGATTAATTTCTACCAATCAGCGTAGATCAATGTCGACCAATTGGCTAGCAGCTTGCTCTCACCACAGTACCACCTACTTACTAGTGTCCTCGCTTCACTGATCTCATCGCAGACATGTAGTGCCTAGCTGTCATATCAGTGAATGATGCCTATGTAGTCTGATTATTATCACACAGGTTGCTCATTGATTTTGGTATTTCCGTCTGAACGCAACAAATAGATCGATACGTTCTTCTGTATAACTTACAAAATTTCCACGAGTAATACAGGGTGAAAAATGAATACCTCACTAGTCAGCCATTATCGTGCGACAGTAAGTTGGTTCACGTTTATCGGCAACTTACTTTCAAGTGCAGTCAAAATTCGACAAATACTCTTCGCATATCAACTCTAACTGTGTGTATACAAACTTACATGCATCTGCAGGAGTAGTTATATTGGAAGAACAGAAAGAAAGGCACATCTTCGATTTTCTGAATATGTATCAAAAAGCCTTTATCTCAGGGGAAAAGACACTATCAGTAGTGCTATTACCAGGCATTTCATCGATATGTTTTGTGACATAATGGTACAAATCTTCTTAAGTTTTCCTAGGCAATCTCCATCAAACGCCTGAAACCAAATTTATGCATTTATTAGGAAGAAGGCGTTATCAGTTTTTCCTTGCCCTGGTAACCAGATGTCTTATTATTATGCCACGCCAGTCATTGTAGAGGCATAAGTCGCCCTTTCTTTTATAGCTTTAGAGGGTAGCCTTTCTTCCAATTGGTAGGCTCCTCTTCTTCCTTCCAAACCTTCTGCAAATGCTAGGGCAATAATATACAGGTCAGAGGAAAGGGTAGGAATCACAAAATTAGTTGAAAGATCATTCGAATAAGTGTCAATAATGGAAGTAGATTGTTCATGGAGAGATTATTCTCTTACATTCCCCCGTTGTCCATCGCAATCATAGTGAATTTGAGGGAGACAAGAAGTTTTTTAATCAGTAGTGAGATTATTTGAGGTTGTCTTGGGTAGACAGACTCGTAGTCCTGCATACTATTGTGGTGAGAGCTGTCTACTAGCCAAATTGGTAGACAGTAATTGACGTCAATATTTACGTTCCCAAGATTTGTCGTGAGAAAATGTGAACAAAGACTGATTCAAAACCGACCACAGCAGACTTTGCGTAGGCGGATGCAGTTAACATATAGAGGATTTGACATTTAAGAAACAGTCACAAATAGATGAAAGATTAACTTTACGTGAGAAACAACCAATCGGAAGACTGTGTTTGTTTGCTTAACTAATCTATAACAATGTACATGAAAATATATAAATATGCGTTGATTTCCTTAATAAACGATCTGTTACCTGGCCCTTGTCTTCTGTCGTTACACTATTACTATTCTCTTAGGTTCTACCCTGTTCTCTGAAACCGTTTTTCCTCATTTCCTCCTCGCATGATCTCCAACATACCAGTCTCGGTCTCGCACATACACTTTCAACTCGTCTTTTCCCGTTAAGGTTCCATCCAGGAGCGTTCTTGATACGTGATGTTAGTCGAATTCATCCACTTTGAAAATGCCTTCGATAGTGTAAAATAGGATGTAATTTATGAACTGTTTCAAAACTACAGAGTTCTGTAACCAAGCTGTCCAGTATAGTGTCTTAAAGTTCTTCTTATATCTGCTGCCGGCTTTATTCTTCAACTGCCAGAGTGAGTAATGATGCTCTTTGGGGGGCGTCGAACGCACTGATAACTGTTTTATGTGTCTAAACACAACACTAGTCTTCATAGAAAACGGTTCTACCTTTGATACTATTGCTGCTGGCTTCTGCCTTCAGTAGGAATACCATGACTCAACAGTGAGGGAGGTATATTCAGATGATGGATCCCTTATTTCTATTCATCGCCAACCACTTAAAGTACATTTGAATTTCAACTGTCAATCACTCAACAGGAATACATTAAAATGCTAATTACATCTTTGTTTTGATTGAAATAATACACAAAATTTCAAGTTCACATATAGATTTTGAAAGGATAACATTTTTACACAGAAGTATCACTGTTTGGCATTTATCAATCAGTTAACCTACCTATCATTAAAACTGAAGTGCTCCACTTGTGCACAGGTAGCTAAACATTCACTTTTCCAGTGAATATATACTAAAGTGTACCGAATAATCTCAGAGTTGTATTCAATGTATTTATAATAAGCTATAAAATATGTACTAATATTATTTTCCCAAATCAAGTTATTCGAACTTAAAACTTCGGAGAGGATTTTAGCATTAAAGTATAGAATACCTGTGGTGATGTTATTTAAAAAAAAGGTTAAATGAAAGTACAGAGCTATAAAAAAATTTACATCTTTCTAAGTGTAACACATTACACCTTATGGGAGAGATTTTATTACCCTTTTCATATTTAAGTATTGGTTTGTAAGGATTTGAATGATTGGTTACAGGATTTCATCATGAGCTGACATCAGTTAGAGAACCATTGGAAAGCCAGTCAGGGAGCAGTGGACAGCCAGCTGTTTCGTCAGCTCAGTTTGGGACTCTTTATCAGTACGCACTCACACTAAAGGGTTTGAACCCAGGACCTTCTGGCGCCAAGGCAAGCTGGTTCGTAGACTATTAAGCCATCGGGAACCAATACAGTGGCAAGAGCATGAATTCCAACTTCTGCCAATTCATGACATAGCGCGACCCCTAGCCAATGTCTTTGGCAAGTATTTGTCCTCACACCCAACCTGCTGCACCCTACTGGTCACGACTTTCCTATTCAGGTTGGTAGTTACCTGGGGCACCGTTGACGAGTCCCAAACTAGGCTGACAAAACAGCTGGCTGTCCAGTACTCCATGATGGTTTTCCAATGGTTCTCTAACCGACGTTAGCTCATGGTGAAACCCTGTAACTAATGTATTAATTCTTGAAGACATATACATTATAGCACATTTATGCCTAACAATGAAACAATTTTTTTCTGCTTGCCACAAATTAGTGGGAAAACATGTGGGCTGTAAATTTTATGTGGTAAAAGAAAGAATGACTCATGCGAAACGAAGAAAAATTTTAAAAACACTATTAATCCCAATTTAATTTTGTTTTCAATTCGTAGCAACACTTGTGAAGCTTAAATCTATCTTTAAATCCTACAGAAATAAACTTGTTAAAAAGTGTACATATGACGATAGCATAAACAACAATAATAACAGTAATAATAACATTTTAGAAAGTTTCTTTACTAAGTAAGTATTACGCATACAACGCAACTTTTGTGTTCTATTTTCCCACACCTACCATCTTTCCAGCCTACATTCTAATCTAGGCAGTATCAAGATCTGAACCGGTAAGTAGTCTCTTAATTATCAGTCCGACACCCTACAGGGGTGAGCTACGCGATGCAGCTGCTAATCATTTCAGAAGTTCATAATATTTTGAAATAATAGAGAATCTTTTTGGCTCAGGTGGATGATTTGCTATTAGTTATACTCTCTGAGCTGGTTGGTTTTACTACGCAGCTTTCGTCGTCCCCCTTCTGGACAACATCTTCAATATGATATATATTCTGTCATATCAATACATGTAGATAATTATGAATATCAATTTGATAATTGGGATAACGTGGGAATTTTAAACAGAAGAAACATCAGAAGTTTGGTCAGGGAATTCCAAGACGAGAGTAAGACAAGTTGGCTGCCTACTATCTCCGATGATTTTCATGATTGCGGGTGGTAGATTGGATAATGCGACGGAGAGCGACCGACGAAGAGACAGGCATAAAGTGGACCCACACAAAAACTTGGAAGATATGGACTTCACCGATGATATATGTCTGATTTCCCACAAATTGGAAGATATGCAAGTGAAAAGCAACAGGTTGGCGATAGAAGAAACATCAAAGATAGGACTTCCTTCATGTGAACATAGAGAAGACAGAGGTGATGAAGATTCCCGGACAAGAACAACAACAACAGACAACGATCAGCATAAATGGAAGAGATCAGAAAGAAGCAACCTCATTTACCCAACTACCTACCTGGAAAGCATTGTTTCAACTACAGGCGGTCATTACTAATGAGGTTATCAAGGAGAGGACCGGGGAAGCAAGCCAAGCTTCCATTACTATCAAGTCTGTGTGGACATCAATACTCAGCACTCAACATGAAAAATAAGATCCGAATTTTCAACTACAATGTGAAGTCAATGCTATTACACGGATCACAGACTTGGCGCCGTGTCATGAAGGTCACTCTGAACAAACTACAGACTTTCATCAACAGCTGTCATCGCCCAATTCTACTCAACATCAGATGGCCGGCCAGAAATATCAGCAACGCAAATCTCTAGCAATGAACCAACGAACCAATCCATCAGGAACCATTTGTGCAACAAATATGCGGGAAGAAACGAAGGTGCGTTGGCTGGCCATACTCTGAAAAAACAAACCATTAAGTGAGTGACATCCCACATCATGCCATTGCTCGAGTGAAACCCTGCCGAATGGGAATTGGGGAGTCATTTGGTCGTCAGTGCGAGAGTGACAAGAAGGAAGTGGTGCGAAGAGGAGATGAAAGCGTATGGTCAGACGTGGAGCCAGGTGAAAACGCTGGCAGAGAACGGAACTCAATGGAGACGTGAGGCTGAAGCCCTATGTTCCTCTAGGAATTAAAGGAAACAATAATTTAATATAATATAATACATGTTGATATTGGCTGATTGATTGACTTACCTTCTGAATATTGGGTATATTATGACTTCTACACTGTAGTCTTCGTCTTACTTTTTAGGTCATTCTGAGCCAAGAAGTGTACAATTCACAAAACATGATATCGCGAACATGGTAAATGTATTACTCACATCTAGAACAATATTCTTCTCAATTGAATTTATTATGATAAATACAGTTAATGTTACGAGTGCTCGTCAAACACTCATATCAATTAGTGAGAAATCTTCAAAGCTGTAAGTAACATATGCAATTTTTAATCATCTCATTTTGTTCTACTGTTTGTTTGTTTTTAATTCAAAGGCTTTCAAGCATTTGAATAAGTGCGCGATGGCATATACTACTGACAGACTGATATAAGTAGTTGGATATCACCCGTATGTTAGACAGATAGAAGGGATCTAATTATTGGATGGCTGTTTTGCCTGTTTGAGACCAAGCTCAGCATTGTTGTATCCAGCTTGACTCTGCTCAAGGAACTAGATCAGTTGAGGGCAAAGTTCAACACTGACGTTCCAAGGGATGCGAACGCACGGGTGTGACCTTCAGCCGACCAATCATAAAAATAAGTGACTTTCGCAAAAAAAAGACGTATATTTACAACACATTATTAAACAGGTTATCTTTCTCTGAAATGGCTTAAAAATGCGTCCCAATTATTATGAGGAGTATCAGTTGCTAAGTTAGACTAGTTTCTATACATGTATTCACCAAGATGACTGAAGATGAGCTGTTTTTTGAATAGTTTATCTCTCTTTTCCTGTTGTACAGTCTTCCTCAAAGCCCTCGTCTGAATCACTATGGTTTCCAGTAAGAGGATCAACGACTACTTACCAGAAAAGTGTGGATAAGAAAACAAATTAAAATAAATGATATCAACTATAAGTCTATCCCTAATAGTAACCCTACCTTTGATCCTAACCCTCATCACAACCCTTATCCAAATCGAAATTCTAACCCTTGTGCTAAATTTCACCCTGTTCCTAACCCTAATCCCAATACTTACCTTAACCCTAATCCTAAGCCTAACGAGCTATTAACGCATTGTCGAAACAATAATTAAAAATGTGATCTGGGTGAAATCTGCTGCTTTGTTGGTGAATCGCGTTGATATTTCAGCTATGATTATGCTAGGTGCCACTAACCAACGACTAGCATGCGTTCAAGGTCATTGGAGCGTTGGCACTCCTGAGACGCTATTATTGATCTTCTCCCAGTTGAGATCAGTTTAATTCTGGATCACTACTTGGGCGAACTCGCAATTCATCGTACCAGATTTGCAATTCTCAACTTACAAAATTCGAAGTGAAATAAGTTGTGGTTGTCCATTGAACAAGAAAAAGTAAAAATGACTGGGAACAGTAGCAGGATGGCAGAATATGTGAATTTCATGAACACTATATCATCCACTGGTTGGAATAATATCTCAAAAACACTTGCTAGACGAGTGCTGATTAACAGGGATTTGACTGGTTTCAAGTTTGATGACATACTTACTTCAGTTAGTTCCTGATGGTGTCATGAACACTCACTTTTGAAGAATCTCAATTTAGGACGAAATATATATCCATTACTGCCTAGTTCGCAATGGTCTTCTAAAGGAAGTGAACTTTTCATCATATTTAGAAGTTGAATAATCAGATGAGAACAAAACTGTTTAAAACAAAAGCTGGTATTCATTGAAGTGCACAGTTATTTCTGTTTATCATCTGTTTGCTGAAATTAGGCGGAAATATTCGTTGGAATTTCCTGCACTAATTTCACAGGGGTATGTTTCTGAATTCTTTACCATTTGTGAGATATGCAAGCTGAGAAAGCAAAATATGTGCTGGAATTAGAACGTATTCATCGACGAATATGTTAAAAGCCCTTTCCTGTTAAAAAATTGAGTTGTTTCACTTATTCCAATGTAGGTTTCTTCACACATTGACATCAGTTAAAGAGCTACAGCAAACCAAAGAGCAACAGACCACTGATTCGTCGTAGTTTGGAACTGTTCAGCAGTACACACTCATGACACCATCATGGATCTAATTTATCACCTTCAGGTCACAAGATCAACTCAATGACCTTTTAGTTACTAGATTAGACTTATGAATTCTAATTCCTACAGGGTAACTGGTTTTCAGTTGTTCTCTAAATGACGTTGATTGAAATCATTGAGAATCTCCAAAAAACTCACGATTTGAATATCAATCCTAAGTTCACTGGTAGCTACAAGATGCATGTCCTGAAGCTGTATTGAGAAGTTGTGGTCAGAAGAGTCCACCGTGTCAGAGTAAACTGGATGCACTTCTGAAAATAAAGAAACCACAAAGGTATATCTTACCAATGCTCCTTGGTTTTTAATGATTCCCTAACAGATTTTGTTTCAGGACTATGTTGGCACTGAGATATTCTTTGTTGTGACATGCATAGTCAAACGTGAACCCAATGTCTCTGATCTCAATTTAGATGATTATTCAATGAAATCGATGTGTCCACTGAAGTCTGGCTTTTTATGTGCGTGTCTTGCTTTTTCGAAGCTTAGAAAAGTAAGGATCTGGAATTACGTCTTACTAGTTCGATGCTGAGCCATGTGAGCCAACTTTTGATCAGGTTTTGTAACTCAACTAGTTGACTCACCTTCAGTCACCGCCTATTACTCCAATAAAAGTCTGCTAAAAGATCTGGATTTCGCAGATGGTATATGTCTAGTGTCACACAAACTCGAAGACTTGGAGGCAGGCGGAAAACAACAAACTGGATGAAGAGGCTAGCAGGCAGCGAAGACAGGAATCCAGGTGAACATAGAGAATTTAGAGACTGAGGTGATGAAGACAATCAACCAAGCAACCAACAGCAACAACAACAACCAGCATCAATCATCCTTAACTTATTTGGCTGGAAAGAATTGTTTCAACCAAAGGTATTCGAAACGGATGAAGATTGCAAAACCAGCCAGCTAAAATTGGCTAGGCAAGATACACGTTCACCAATCTGAAACCAGTTTGGAAATGTCCTGTGCTCAGAATAAGGAAGGAAATTTGGATTTTCAACAAAAATGTCAAGTCGGTCCTTCTATACGAGTCAAAAACATAGCCAGCGTGTAACGAAAAACATTTCTAACAGGTTGCAGACCTTCGTCAACAGCTGCCCTCTTCGCTGGCTCCATAATGAAGATCGAATGGCCAGAAGGAATAAGCAACAAGAAACTCTGGCTGGCAACAAGCCAACAGACAAGAGCCGATCGCTCCAAAAATATGTAGGAGAAAATGGAGATGGATTGATCGGGCATGTGTTGAGGAGGTTGTCGAATGACATCGCGCGCCAAGCCCTTGAGTGGGATCCCAATGGGAAGTGATGAGTGGGCCATCACTTCGAGGTTGACATGGAGGGGATAGTGTGAACTAGAGGAGGAGATGAGAGATTATGGGGTAGCGTGGACCCAGCTGAAGAGGACGGCAGAAAACAGAACAAAGTGGAGATGTGTTGTTGAATCCCTCTGTTCCCCTCGGAACCCTAGGGAACAATAATAATAATAACTCAAGACTATTTCAAAATGTCTCTCCATCTATTACGTTTCATTTAATTTCATGGAATCCAATGATACAATAGGGAATGAATGCACGTTTTCTAACCCAATCAAAATACGCAAATCACTTGTGATCATTTCACTTCAACTTTTCTTGCATTTTATTATTTATTATTATTATTGTTTCCCTTAATTCCTAGAGGAACATAGGGCTTCAGCCATGCGTCTCCATTGCGTTCGGTTCTCTGCTAGAGTCTTCACATGGCTCCAAGTCTGCCCACACGTTTTCATTTCCTCTTCACATGAACTCCTCCAAGTCACCCTTGCACTGACGACCAACTCGCCGCTTCCCGTTCGGCCGGGTTCCATTCGAGCGATGGCTTGTCTAGTGATGTCACTTGATGGTTTCCTCAGAGTACGGCCACAATCCAATCCACCTCCATTTATTCTAGCATATTTGCTGCACAATTGGTTTCTGCTGGGTTGGGTTGGTTCGTTCATTGTCAGATATCCCTGTTGCTGATCTTTTCTGGTCGGCCATCTTATCTTGAGTGGTATTGAGTGAAGACAGCTGTTGATGAAGGTTTGTAGTTTGTTCGAAGTGCCACTCATGACGCGGCGTCAGGTCTGTGGTCCGTATAGTAGCCGCTTATGGATTCCATGAAATTAAATGAAACGTAATAGATAGTGAGACATTTTGAAATAGTCTTTAGTTATTATTATTCCCTTGAGTTTTGAGTGGAACATCTCCTCCAAGTCACCCTTGCACTGACGACCAACTCGCCGCTTCCCTTTCGGGTTCCACTCGAACGATGGCTTGTCTAGTGATGTCACTTGCTGGTTTCCTTAGAGTACGGCCAATCTATCTCCACTTCTTCCTGTCTATTTGTTTCACAATCGGTTCCTGCTGGGTTGGTTTGCTCCCAGAGATCTCTGTTGCTGATCTTTTCTGGCCAGTCATCTGATCTTGAGTACTGAGCGAAGACAACTGTTAATGAAGACCTGTGGTTTGTTTGAGATGCTCTTTATGACGCGAAGTGCAAGTCTCTGACCTGTATAGTAGCACTGACTGACTTCACATTTGAGTTGAAAATTCGGATCTTATTTTTGATGCTGAGTGCTGTTGACTTCCATACAGACTTGAGAGTAGTGAAAGCTTGTCTTGCTTTTTCAATTCCTGCTTTGATATTCTCGTCAGCTCCGCCTGTAGTTGAAACGATGCTTCCCAGGTCGGTAGGTAAAAGAGGTGGTTTCTTTCGGGTTCCCCTCATATATGCTGATCGTTGTCTGTTATTGTTGTTCTTGTCCACGAATCTTCACCACCTCTGTTTCCTCTATGTTCACCTGAAGTCCTATCATCTCTGGATGTTTCTTCTGCCAACTTGTTGCTTTTCGCTTGCATATCTTCCGGTTTGTGGGAAATCAGACATATATCATCGGCGAAGTCCAGATCCTCCAAGTACTTTGTGTTGGTCCATTTTATGCCTGTTTCCTCATTGCCAGCTGTTTGTTGCATTATCCAATCTACTGCAATCAGGAAAATCATTGGCGTTAGTAGGCAGCCTTGTCTTACTCCTGTCCTCACTTCAAAGGATTCCGTAAAATTCCGGTTGTGGATTACTTGGCATGCAGCATTGTCGTAAAGCTGTTGGATGAGGTGTATAATTGTCGGTGGCACACCATAGTAGCGAAGTAGTTGCCAAATCACCTCTCGATCGACGCTGTCGAAGGCCTTTTCAAAGTCGATGAATTTGAGATAGAGAGGTGACTGTCATTCCAAGCTTTGTTCAATGATGATCTTGCATTTTATCAATTCATTATTCGCTGTAATTATTACTTTTCATCGGTAATTCAATGGATAGCACACACCCTGTAGTAAAATTATAACATCAGCACATATGGATGAAATTATTAAGAATAAATGCATTTCAGCATTGTTCTTAGATAATTTAGACTAAACAAATTACCGTTAATAATTATTAACTAATGTTTTTAATTATTACACAACTTTTTCCACTTCATTTGAACATAGAATCTTATTCAAGGTATCTATTCAAAATCGAAATTCCCACAAATTTATTCAAGTTACAATGATCAGCCAACATAAATTTACAACAAGGTATAAAAGTCATCCAGTTGAATTGAATCCTAATCAATGGTACAAATTAACATTGAACATTGAAGGTTTAAACAAGGCTGACCTTCAGGTGAATTGTCAACCAATAGCATTTGATATTACTCGTAGACGATCAATAATAATTTTTAACCAATGGAAACCACTGAGAATGCCTCGCATACATTTGAATGATAAATATTGGTTAATGATGAGAAAATATGTTGGATTTCTTGGTCAATTAGACGAACATAAAGAATATTGGAAGGTGAGTTAGTGAATGTTTCATTTCTAATGTTTTTCACCTCAGTATCATGACATTCTAGATGTTTGATCTGATTTGTGAATGCTGTCTAGCTGGATCTGTCTGAGTTTATCATCCAGCATAAGTTTAGTCAAAGCCAATCTTCATACTACCCTTCACATTTGAAAAGACGTCTACAACGAAGTCGTTAACTCTGCCCTGAAGATCCAGGGTTCGACAACTGAGGTGGTGGTTACCGCATGCTAATGAAGTGTCCTAAACTAGAACGAAAAGTGGTATCAGTATGTGACCAAACTTCAGATAGATCGAATGCTTACAAATAAATTCTTGGAAATTGATCTGACGTGTGATGGTGACTGGCTACAGAAGGCAGTTGCCCGGAGTTCTGGTGAGAAGTCATGACTAGTGGGGTGCACCATGCTGCTAGTGAGGAGAAATGCTCGCTTATGACATTGGTTGGAGGTCGTGCTATAATCGCGAGTTGCCAGAAGTTAGGATTCTCGGATGATAGAGTCCTTTCTCAAATGGCTGAATGGTCAACGAACTTGGCCTCCGGTTTGATCCTTTCTGGGGAACGTAGGTGCGCATTGCTGAAGATATCAAGACTAGGACGAAGCAGGTATCCAGTACTCACCGGTTTTCAATGGTTCTTCAACTGATCTCATGGGAAAGTTGAGTGTGAGGCTAGAAAATCTACCGCACAAAAATAACATCACTGTTACTCAAACTTCAGAAGCTCAAAGATTTAGGCCCCATATCTCAAACAGACAGCATTTCAAACAGTGAGAATTTTATTTAATTGTTGAATTAAAAGGGTAATAAGCGGTATTCATCTTAATGTTTGTCCAGCCAGATGCGAAAAAACAGTCAATTACCTCTATTTGTGAGTTTGATTTGAGTCATCACAAAATGTCACTGGATAAAACTCTGCTGTCAACCGACCAATACTGCGGGCCGATAGTCTACAACAGTCTAACCATTATTTTTGTCCTTCTAAAGAAGATTTTGAGTACTCAGTGGCTAGCATGTGGATTGTGAATTAGTATTTCGTTCTGTTTTTGGGTTTTTATCAATCTGTATGTCCCTAAAACCCTGTGACGCTGTTCCTACCCACGTTGAATTACGTAACCGTTCATTTCAAACATTCGGTCACATTACACTCTACTATGAGAGATTTAAACTAAAAAGATATATATTTTAAAACAGTTAGTCCCCCACAGGAATTTAGACAAAGCAATATGAAGGCCTAATTTGTCTAAATTGTGTAATGTATTTCCACAACACATTTCGAACATTCTGATCACACACGAACTTGTATATAAGAATACATATACCAAATATTTTACCTCAAAAGTGTGCTGATATTTTTTCTATCCTCCTACTCAAATCGTAAAGCATCGTTTCACAGGGATACAGTACCTGTTGCCTGAAAAGAAACGAAGGTAGTGCCTGCACTAAAATCAACGACTTCTGGATCAGGTCTGAAGTTTAGGCCAATTGTCATCAAGCCTCCATCTTTGGAAACTATGGAGAAACTTCTTTTGCGTGTTCTCAAACTTTCTTTAAAATTCTTTAGTGATCCAAAGCAGTTTGTATACAAATGCAGCAGAAGCATATTAGATGCTGTCATTGTACTTCACTGCAACAATGTTCAAAGTCCTGATAAAAGTGCCAAGTGTGTTCTGGCCTCCTTTTTAGACCAAAACCAATCTTACCCATAATGGAATTCTCAAGAGTTTGTTTTGATCAAAGGAGCCAACATCAATTAGAGAGTCGTTAAGAAACCACCAGCCAGTATTGGAAATCTATTCCGTCATATTCTAGGACTCTTCATCGGTACGTACCTACTAGGATTCAAACCCACAAGGCTCTAGCTACAAGATAAACTCATAGTGTAACAACAGAAGACAAGGGCCAGGAAACAGATCGTTTATCAAGGAAAATCAACACATATTTATAGATTTTGATGTACATTATTGTAGATTATTGTTAGTAGAAAATACAGTCTTTTGATTGGTTGTTTCTCACAGAAAGTTAACCTTGCATCTCTTTGTGGCTGTGTCAGATCATTCATATGCTAACTGTATCCGCCTACGCAAAGCCTTTGTTCTCATTTTCTCACCACCAATATTGGGGACATAAACATTGACGTCAATTACTGTCTACCAACTTTGGCTAGCAGCCAGTTCTCACCACACACTGAAGATTGTAAGTAGGGTTAGTGGTGTGTGTGTGCCTTTGTCTCAACTAAATGACATTATTGTTGTTAATAGTCACTTCAGTTCTTGCAAGCATATGGCTAAAATTATCCTGTCTGATGCTGAACATCCTCTCTACTTATTCTCAACCTTTGCCTTGTATCTCACTTCGGATAAAACCAGAAGAAACTTCATAAGAAGCATTTACGCTCGTACAGCTAATAAATATAAAAATTCTACCATACCACCATATTTAGCACGGGAAGTTGTGTGTGAAGGGAGAGAGATACAGTCACGTGTCAGAAAAGAACTTATAAACTTTTTAAATCAGTAATCTGAACGGCAAATTATGAGTGAAGGTTATCACTATTATTATTACATGTACTATCTACTTTTACTTCATTATGTTTCCACCAACATTCTGTTTATAGTGGTGGTTTCATTATTAACATTATTATTGTTATCATTATTATTAATATTTGCTATATATTAACAATGTTGACATTTATAAAATTATATTTGTAAAGTCTCAGCGAAATTGAAATGATTAATTCCAACGTTTCGTTCGGCAATCTGGTCCGAACTTCTTCAGGGAAATTAATCGAAATTAACATAACAGAGGTTTATATGGAAAAGGAACAACTCATGTTCTTAAACTTTGTCCAATCATGAGTCATGCAACAGGCATCAACATGTATAATAAATAAATAAAATAGTATGTTCATATATAAAAGTACATCTCTTGTTTTAAATTGTTTGTCCTATCATGTGAATCAAGAAACAGCTAACAATAGGTATAATAAAGAAAACAAAACAAAATTTTTATATGAGCTGTGATCAAGATTTGACCGGATAGTTACAAAATAATTGAGATTTTTTTTACAAATATAATATAATTTTATAAATTTGTTATTCTCTCCATAAAAAGACGTAGACAACCGGGAATTTGATCAAGTGTGACTAGTTGTTGATACATATCCAATTTATTTATTCATCAGGATTTGCCATGCATCAGCTAAGATCACACCTTCACGTCTGTTCAAACTGTTGGGATTCACCCATATATGTAGGGCTTCTGCAGAGATTTTACAAATATAATTTTATAAATGTCTACTTCTCACTCAGCGCTCAATTAGTTTGCAACTATCCGGTCAAATCTTGATCACAGTTCATATGAATTATTAACAATGTTGTTTCATTGTTATTTTGACATATAATATATATATATCCTTTTAACTTGACCTAAGTATATTTTCTCACCTCTTAACTCTTTATTATATGCAGCATATATTTTTCTATAACAAGATTGTTCGAAATGTGCTGCGCAAATATACACTGCACGATTCAGACGAGTCACGTCTTCTTATTGTTTTGTCTGAAAAGTCATAAGTCAACAAGTAATGCGCTTTACCCAACTTCCCTCTTCAAATGTTATGCAATTATATATTATTCTAAAAGGTTATGCATAGAAAATCCTATGAAAGTCAGTTATTAACCTCAACTGATATGAAAGCATACGAACTGACGACATATCAGGAAAAAAGATGGATTCATCACGAAACCTTAATTAAGGCTAGTCATCTTTCGTAATCTAAAATCTCCGAGTGATGAATATCGCTCATACATGATTACCGTTAAAACAATAAGCCCTTGAAAATGGGGAGAATATTGTCCATAAGATTAAGAGATTCAGAAGGTATGCAAAGCATATTTTAAAATTAAGAGTCTGAGAAGAAAGAAGAAGTTCAAAAAGAGTTCTATAGATTTACATGTGTCAACGGGAGCAGTTACATTGGAAGAACAGAAAGAAGAAGGGTATATCTTCGATTTTCTGAACATGTACCAAAAAGCCTATGTCTAAAGGGAACAAATGCTTTAAACAGTGCCATCGCCAGGCATCTCCTTGACATAGGTCATGAGATGGACGTCGCAAGATCGTTCAACATTATCAATAGGCAAAAGAGTTCAATTCTCCTTGAGTTCGCCGTAGCGATCTCCATCAAGCGCCTGAAACCCGACTTATGCGTTTAGAAAGAAGTGGTTATCAGTCTTCCCTTGCCGCACCTGGTAACTAAATATTGTCACCCTTTCTTTCATCTGGTTACGTAAAACCGAAAGTTTCCATTGTGTATGATTATTATTATTGTTTGGAATAAAGTCTTTATGATTATATTTATTTTTATTGTATGTATATATTGCTTGATTGGTTTTTGTTTAAAAGTGAACTCTGTGTGGTTAATAATGGCTTTTGACTGTAAGCGGTTGAGCTAATGAGAAACCGACGAAATTAATGATGCTACCATTGTATTCTGCATAAACCACTATTGTTCTTGCTTTATTCGAAATTCTTCTGTGCATTCCGCTTAGAGTTTTCTTTTGTGTATAAAAACAACTTCTGCTACAGACAGAAGATGTCACCATAAAATCGTTCGAATGACTTGACCTAACTTTGTATGCATCCCTTTGAAAGATACTCCTATTAATCAGGACCAATGTGTCTGAACAAGGTTCTCAAGAACTCAGTTATTGGTAGATCTAATCTCTCCTTTGCTATCTGTGGGATATTCTTAGACATGTGCAGACAATATCCACAGGAGCAAGTGAATTGACATATACACCTAGTTAATCTCGCAGTAGAGAAGGATAACCCTAAACTGTGTATGTGCAGGAGGAACTGACGAGGATATCAAAGCAAGGATCGGGAAAGCAAGACAAGCTTTCACTACTCACGTCAAGTCTGTGTGGAGGTCAACAGCACTCAGCACCAAAAATAAAATCCGGATTTTCAACTCTAATGTGAAGTCA